CTCTCTCTTTCTCTCTCTCTGCCTCGTTCCCTGCCTCTTTCCCTGTCTCACTCTATATCTTTCTCCTCTCTGTCCGTTTGTCTGTCTGTCTATCTGTCTGTCTATCTCCCTCTCTCCCCCCTCCCCCCCCCCCTCTCTCCCTCTCTCTCCTCCCCCCTCTCTCTCTCGTATTACCCATTGAGATTTTAATAACACAGAATATATTTCTCGAATGACCATGTTACTTGCAATTAAATCAATGTATGTTAAATTGTATGAAAGAATAATCTACAGTTTGATTTGAACGTTGTTATAGAGTGCGGGGTGAGAGGTGATAGGGCGCCCTCACGGTATGCCCTATGTATTACGATGCATTTAGTATTGCCCTTAGATAGATTTCAGTGCTCGAAGATAATCAGTTTTGCTTGACTGACACCAAGGTACCCGTAAAATTCAAAAGGCAGTAAAACATTGAAGAATTTATCTTTTTTATATAGAATTTTCAATTTGTGAAAGAAAGAAATTATTAAGGTAATGGACGTTTTCATTGCGATACCTCCCTGTGAACAATTAATTTCGGCTGAGGGAAGAAAATGGATATTTTTCTGGTGGTCTGTGTGCAGTAGTTTTATTGACTCGAACTTGATCGGCTATATCTTCCTTACGACATTTTATCGGCTTGATTTTTACACTAGTCGATAGAACAGTTTGACTTTAGTGTTTATCTGACGAAAACCCGACATTATTAACACTAAGCGCTTGACCATCCCTTCTCGTGGTTTTGTTAATTATTGTAAATATTTGTCACTGACATTTAGCCCCTGTGAATAACAACACTAAATATAGTGTTTCTCTGACGAAAACTTCATACAATCTGTTTATTTCTATTTTGTTATTGTCAGGTTCAACATCAGTCATTTCTTGATAATCCACATTTTATGCTAACTATCGCTCTCTGCACCCAACTTTAAAGTCAGTACATCAAACTTTTAATTACGATCTCGAGATTCATTTGAAGTACATAAAAAGGATTAAACCAGTTTCCTCGCCTTGTCCACAAAGTGGCACACACGGAACCTGCAATTTTACCATGAAATGTTTCCGGGGTGCACAGAACGAAAGTGATTGTAAATCTGAAGTATCGATGACAGATATTTATACTAGTTTACAAATAACTAGAGACATGCATCCCGTCTCCAGGTTCCTGTTAATTACAGTAAATATTTGGAGAATATTGTCACCGACAGTACTCATCCCGTTAACCTCAGGCTGTGAATCAGGGTTTTAGATAACCACCTACTACATAGAATGTTTCTCTAATGAAAACGGCACGTGCTAATTGTTGCACCTGCCTTTTTCATATTATTTTTATAATTATTCGATATTGGTATTAAGCGACTTGACCCGCCTCAAGGTCCTTCAGAACTGCCAGTACAAAATAGAAAAAAAAATAATTGGGATCGACATATTTACATAACTGCATTGCGATGAGGAATCACAGTTGATCTGTTTGATTCATTTAATATTTCAGCACCACGGAAGTAGATCTGTGCTGATTCTCTTAATAGTAACAGACAATTCCTGATAAATTCATCAGTTAAGTCATCGCTCCCAAATTAAAAATCTGATTTTTTCCTTTGTATATAGTCTGGAGTAGAAGTTCTTCTGCTTGTTAAGATACCATCAGACAATGCTATATCCCATAATAATCACTACGTTTGTAAAGACGACATATTTCGTAAGACCAATGTACTTATGCACACTCAGTATAGAACTGCTAGTTTCCATGTATGTCTCTGGAATATTAGCAGTACTTACAACAAACTCCCAGAAAGTATATGTACATTGACAAAGCCAGCAGCCAAATAGTTTATGTTTTCAAGAAACATGGCTGTCATCAGATAACGAGGAAATTAGTATTGATGGCTAATATCGCCATGACGGTGTTGGCACTTATATAAAAAGATATCCTTTCTGTCAGAAGGTCTGATATGGAAATGGATGATATTGAAATTCTTTGTCCGCAAATTCATTTAAAGTGAGGTAACGCTTTAGTATTAACTAATGTGTATCGACCGTCAAGCTGCAACGCTGCTATCCGACTTGAAAATTTTGAACTTTTTCTTGAAGCATGTCATCAAGAAGGAAATGAACTGATTTTACAATTTTAATGTTAACCTTTATGGTGGAAGTTCTGAAACCGTAACTGATTTAACAGATATCTACAATCTCCATCTGGTGGTAAACGAGCCTACACGTGTTTCTGATACCCTGACAGATTATGTCTACGTGACGGCACCGGAATATGTAGAGCTTGTGGAAGTGGTCAAGTATGGTTTCAGTAACCACTACCTTGTATAGTTCGCAAAAGACGGTTGGGATCTAAGTTTGCTTGTACTAAAATGTGATATCGATAATTTAGGATCTTTGATGCCGAGGCTTATACTGAAACAATAGTTAGTGTACAATGGTCCATTATTTAAACAATTAATGATGTAGCTGAGACAATGGACACAGGACAAACATCATTCTTCACTGTTGTGGACGAGCATGCACCCAAGCTGGAAACACGGGAGAAAACCTGCCACAGTGGATAGACGACACTGTTCTGGAAAGTATCAGGGTTAAAGGTTAACTTAAACGTGAAGGTGACCTTGAACCGTATAAAAAAGACAACGAAATCAGGTTACATCTATGATCCGTACAGCAAAATCTGACTATTCCAAAAATGTAACCCAAACTAATTTGAAAATCCTAAAAATCTATGGAAGTTTATACGCGAGGTTAGTCCAAAAGAAACTTTACCTTCTCCAAATATGTTAACTGTTTAGAGCAAGCATGTTTTGAAAAGAGTGAAATAGCCAATCAGTTTAACAAATATTTTACTGGGATTGCTAGTAACTTACTCACAGCTGGATAATGTTACAGCTTCTTTTCAGAAACTGAAAGATTATGTTTATGATAGAACATAGGATGGTACCTCTTTCATTATTCCAGATGTATCAATTGATTTTACTGTTAATATTTTGAAACATCCAGCTGTCCATAAAGCTACAGGTGTTGCTGGTATTAGTACCGAGCTGTTGTTCATACTGAAAGAGCTCCAACTCTTACTAATATAATGAATGTTCGTCTGAAGACCGGTAAATTCGCTAAAGTCACCCCCTCTCCAACCCCTTCCTTCATCAAATGGAAGCACAGCTGATGTTGAAAATCATAGGCCAAGATCGGCATGTTCTTTCCAAAATATTAGAGAAGCATGTCAACTTTATGATGTACAAATATCTTACAGATTATGAATTAATTGTTTTGTCTCAATATGGTTTCCGCCATAAACATTCATATGAAACCGCATTGTTGTATATTGTAAACTGCTGGGCTAGGAACATCGATGATGGACTTTATACTGGAGTCTTATTCTTAGACTTACAATTTAGTTGACCATTCTGTTTTACTTGAGAAACTCTCTCTCTCTCTCTCTCTCTCTCTCTCTCTCTCTCTCTCTCTCTCTCTCTCTCTCTCGCTCTCTCTCTCTCTCTCTCTCTCTCTCTCTCTCTCTCCCTCCTCTCTCTCTCCTCTCTCTCCCTCCCTCTCTCTCCCTCTCTCTCTCTCTCTCTCTCTCTCTCTCTCTCTCTCTCTCTCTCTCTCTCTCTCTCTCTCTCTCTCTCTCTCTCTCTCTCTCTCTCTCTCTCTCTCTCTCTCTCTCTCTCTCTCTCTCTCTCTCTCTCTCTCTCTCTCTCTCTCTCTCTCTCTCTCTCTCTCTCTCTCTCTCTCTCTCTCTCTCTCTCTCTCTCTCTCTCTCTCTCTCTCTCTCTCTCTCTCTCTCTCTCTCTCTCTCTCTCTCTCTCTCTCTCTCTCTCTCTCTCTCTCTCTCTCTCTCTCTCTCTCTCTCTCTCTCTCTCTCTCTCTCTCTCTCTCTCTCTCTCTCTCTCTCTCTCTCTCTCTCTCTCTCTCTCTCTCTCTCTCTCTCTCTCTCTCTCTCTCTCTCTCTCTCTCTCTCTCTCTCTCTCTCTCTCTCTCTCTCTCTCTCTCTCTCTCTCTCTCTCTCTCTCTCTCTCTCTCTCTCTCTCTCTCTCTCTCTCTCTCTCTCTCTCTCTCTCTCTCTCTCTCTCCCCAACATTGAATTGACCTTTGTTCCTTATTATGGTTTCTAATGTACAAATGATATATGATATATTAAATGCTTTCTACCCAAGAACGTTACACCAGTTCCCGCGGTTGAGGAGTCGTCGATACTTTTGGTGTTAATTGCGTAATAATCAGATCCTATTGTATTCAAGAAAGCTAGTGATTTACAAACAAAACGTATGTTCACTTTTAACGGCAAGGTCACAGTTTGTTTCATTCATGTAGACGAGAACATTCCATGTTAGTATGGCGAAGATCCTAAGGTAAAAACATAAGACGGCTTGTAACATATTGTTTTATATGGACAACAAACAGTTCGTTGTAGCACCAGTACTTTTCGGTATCACTGTCGTTATTGCAGTTGTAATCTCAACTGTCATTGTCCCATTCGGAATCGTTAGTGTAGGGATTGTTACTGAAACCATGACGCATTTCCGTTCCTCGAACTTTTCCCGCCATTTCTTGTCGTTGGGCCATGATCGGCAAGAAACACTGATCGGCCAGGATCCTGGACTCTCTACAAAGTAAGCATGGACTGCATAAATACTGACTTACCGTAAAAGAACAATGATGTTGTTCAAACATTTTCAAGCAGGTGACTTTAACTCATTTGCTTTGAACGAATCTTAAGATACTACTCTTGGTACTTTCGGGTTCAATTCCACTAAAATATTAACGCACTGTTTGCTTACGGTAAACACCAATAAAGGCATCAGTATCTTGTTCGAGTTGTTAGCTTGGATTTTCTGTTAATGTACTGTAACGAGTTGATTTTTTTCGACATCGCAATTGATCGATCGGTGTGTTTTCGTAGACCATCACTGATTGGTGGTGTTTGGGGTGATTGGTGGTGTTTGGTGTGATTGGTGGTGTTTGGGTGTGATTGGTGGTGTTTAGGAGTGATTGTTGGTGTTTGGGCGTGATTGGTGGTGTTTGGTGTGATTGGTGGTGTTTTGGGGTGACTGGTGGTGTTTGTGGTGATTGGTGGTGTTTGGGTGTGATTGGTGGTGTTTTGGGGTGATTGGTGGTGCTTGGTGTGATTGGTGGTGTTTGGGGGTGACTGGTGGTGTTTGGGGTGATTGGTGGTGCTTGGTGTGATTGGTGGTGTTTGGTATGATTGGTGGTGTTTGGGGGTGAGTGGTGGTGTTTGGGGTGATTGGTGGTGCTTGGTGTGATTGGTGGTGTTTGGTATGATTGGTGGTGTTTGGGGGTGAGTGGTGGTGTTTGGGGTGATTGGTGGTGCTTGGTGTGATTGGTGGTGTTTGGTATGATTGGTGGTGTTTGGGGGTGAGTGGTGGTGTTTGGTGTGATTGGTGGTGTTTGGGGGTGACTGGTGGTGTTTGGGGTGATTGGTGGTGCTTGGTGTGATTGGTGGTGTTTGGTATGATTGGTGGTGTTTGGGGGTGAGTGGTGGTGTTTGGGGTGATTGGTGGTGTTTGGTGTGATTGGTGGTGTTTGGGGGTGACTGGTGGTGTTTTGGGGTGGTTGGTGGTGTTTGGTGCGATTGGTCGTGTTTGGGGGTGACTGGTGGTGTTTGGAGTGATTGTTGGTGTTTGGGGGTGACTGGTGGTGTTTTGGGGTGGTTGTTGGTGTTTAGGGGTGACTGGTGGTGTTTGGGGGTACGGATGATCAGACAATACCTCCATGTTAACTTGGTCCTTATTGGCCTCCGTAGTGTCACCTTCTTGTGATTACTTACCTGAGAAAGGTAAGGTAGTATACTTTAGGCAGGTAAGGCGGTCCTGTTTGGAATTTGATCTACTTGTACGTTGGGGCTCTGCATGGGAGTTTGATCACCACGACTGTCAGGTAATAATAAGTTAAACAAAGAACGGAACATATGTATGATACATTATTCTCTCTGTATAGTCACACATGCGCACTGTATTACTTATACTGTATAGGTATTGTATATCTCTGTATATCACTTGTAAATGTGTTGAGATATAATTTGAATGGAAATCGCAAAGCATTCAAATATGATTTTAATCGTGTGTCAGTTTTTTACAACGAAACTTGACAGTGTGTAGTTTTACAATAATGTCATTAAGTTGGTTATCGTCTCTCCTCGTTTCCTCCATCAGTTTGGGCATTCTCTCACTCGACTGTCTTTGAACATATCCTCTAATACTTTCGGACGTTCACTGTTACTGGTATTTTCAATTTCAGTGCCTCTAATTTGGTTTGGCGATAAACCCCTGTGATTACTCTGACTATGACTACATTAGTTTTGAGATGTGTCAGATAGCTGGCTGGAATGAAGTGTCCCAACGGGAGCCTAGACACCTGTTGTCCTGCATTTACTGAATACTTAGTCTGTCTTAGACTTATCATTAGAAATAAAGGCTTGAATCACAGTCTTTGGCATATTTTATATAATTTGCAGATGTATTTTCACTAAGAACAGATTTACATTTAGGACAATCAGAAATACCAAGTGGGGATGACTCTATACCAAACCACATTGCATTGTAACATTTTACATATTCGATTATTTTCCTCGCGTATTCATCTCTTGATAGATTGATAACTTTACCGTCTATATATTCATTAAACACTTCGTAATGCGAACGGTTCTGGTTTGTTGACGGGGTTGGGGAATCAGTCTGTGGTGTCACGTTGAACCAAATCGACACGGCATCTTGGATGGTGGGATACATAGGGTGTGAGTAGCTCGTGACATTCTGAGTATTTACAGCTTCAACAATTCCTTAGATATCTCCTTCCAAATCTTGTTAAAATCACAATCATCATCTTGTAACATTGCTGACCTCAGGTCTGGATAGAAGCTTTCTTTTTTACTCTCAACATTACCATTTTCTTTCCGGAGACGGTTTTCTGTGGCACCTACAATGGCGGCCATTTTTAAGCCCTTTAGCCCCAGGCTGCATATTTGAATTTTTAACAATCACATTCTAAATGTAGTATTTCTATAACGAAAACTTAACGAACACACAGCGCGCGCTAATTGCTACACCTGCCTGTTTCTCAGATTCGATATCAGTACTAAGCGACTTAACCATCCCATCTCAACGGGACTGACGGTACTCATTCCGTTATCCCTAGACTGTGAATTTTATTTTTGAATAATCACATTCTAAATATAGTGTTTCTCTATAGAAAACTGTAAGAACACGCGGCGCGCCATCCTCGATACTCGATGTATTAGTATTAAGCGACTTGACCATCTCGTCTCCAGGTTGCTGTTAATTACAGTAAATATTTGGAGAGAAATGTCACAGAGAGTACTCTTTGGATTTTAGATAATTACATTCTATATAAAGTGCTCCTCTAACGAAAACTTATAGAACACCCGACGCGCGCTAATTGTTATATATGCCTGTTTCACAGATTCAGTATTAAAATATTCATTACGGAAATGACTGATACGAAGCAACATGATTACCCGTCTCAACTTTCTGTTTAGACATAGTTGTGACTGATATTCCAGAATGGCTCGTGCATATGTTGTCTAGTCCGATATTTGGCAGTCATTTATTTCATTATTCATGTAAAGTCTTGCTTGGCCTATCATGAGTTGTAATTCTATTTTATAAGCTGAGTGAGGTTTGCTCAACATTCGATATCCAAAATTGTTGAGTTGCGCAATATTCTGCATGTTGAAAGGCCAAAATGTAAAGCTGCATGCACACAACATTAATATCCTGAATGTTGAGTTGCAGAACAATGTTGAATGTTAGAAACTCGCATTTCCTTTCCTTTTGTGAACTATATCAGTGACGAAATTTCACCAAAAGGTACATTCTGTATTTTTCTGTACTGAGTAGCATTGACATTTGGCATTCACACACCTATAAAAGTCATATAACGTCATACACAATCATAACAAACACCTGACAGATGATATTTCAAGAGGTACAATGTATCACCCCTCTGATGGCGTTTGGGTACGGTACGGCCTGCTATATACAAATCCAATGCGGCAAATTAAAAAAAAAAACTAACATAAATTTTGTATATCCAAATAGTCATGGATGATTTAATCTCTATGAAACAAACAGTTCCATTGGCCACTTTTTATGATATCACGCCAGCACATTAACTGTTCGACGTCATTTTTAGTAACGTCATATTTGATTGGCCGAAGTGGCAATTATCAGATGAAAGTGTCCATTATAAATGTAAAAAGAAAAAGATTTTTTATTGAAATTATAAGGATTTCCTCATCTGATTGTCTACGTTTTGTTGATCCATTCCGTGACTTACTTATCATATATATTACAAAACCAAATAAGATAATACGTACTTTTGGCCGGCAGATGGCAGTTGTCACGGGCACTGTCCATGCCTATCGCTCAGTAGATTAAGTCAGTGTTGTAGATCTAATAATGTCGTTATAAAGACTTTAATTCAACATGCCCATCAACATGGCGGCAGACTATGAAGTTTAATGCTATTTTCATTATAAATGAAGGTGTCAGTGATCATGTTCTTGGTATTACTTTCAAAGAACTCCATTTGTGTACATATATATCAGATAAAAAGATACATGTTAGTACTGAGTAGTTGATATGTACTCTTTGTTGCATGTATATGATCTAAATAAAAGGGACTCTGTACATCTAATTCTAGTGTGTGCAGGGATGTGGGTGGAAGAATGGTGGGTTACAACTCTCAATCACCGATGTATTTGTTTTCCAAAAAATATACCCTGTCAAAATGGCACTAAAAACAACTGTGTTCATTGTCACATGAACGTGACTCCTCTTGATTTTCAGTGATATTTCTGTGTATTTTAAAAGCATATATATCTTTCAAAATTACTTTGAAAAGATAAGGGGTAATTAAAAAAAAAAGAAACTTGACATAATACAAAAAAATACCGATTATTTGGTTGTATCGTGTGCTAACATAAAAATGAAAAATTTTGACAAAAAGTATTTATCTCAAACAGGGACGTGTACATCCGCAGTTCAAATGAATATAGCTAATAGTGTTCCTTGTGGTACAAGGGAGGTAACTCTGAGTAAACAATATTGACCGGAAGTTCAAATCCAAAACAACACCAGAAAATGGTGTAAACTTGGAAGAAGAAAAAAGAATCCATTTTCTACATCAAAGCAGATGTAACCAAGCTTTAAAACACACGAAGATGCCAACCAGACAGAGGAAAATAGCCATTATGGGCTTCCGATCTGTCGGTAAGTTTGTAATATCGTCTATTTACGACTTTCATCTTCGGTACTCGAGTTCTTACTTTTTATGTCATCGTGTTCGCTGGATATAAATTTGATATGCTGGAAAATTGCCAAATTAAAGTAGCTTAGTAATGTTCTTGTGAGAATGAGTATCGAAGGACTCGTCATACTCATGATATTTACTTACGTTATCAACATAATTAAACAGAACTGAAAAATCTGCCAGTGCGTAAATTGCATGGGAAGTCTGTCGCTGTATTCTAAAAATAGACCATAGTAAGTATTTGCTGTAAAGCATTATAGAAATAAGACGTACTACATTCAGTTTGTCATATGCCTATCAAATTAAAAAAATCTATATCAAATTAACATGTGATCATGATCAGTTAATTAAAAGGAAAATTATGTATTTTCGGTTTAAGTCCTGTTACAATCTCTCTCTCTATATAAACATAACTTCTTCTCAAGTTCCACCACTGGGATTGAGCTCAAACTGGCATGAAATAATCCTGAGATGATCCTGACCAAGTGTTGTTATTTTTCGGGTCTATCTTGAATCCAAGATGACAGCCATCTTGAAAAACATATTTCAAGTTTCTTCTCCAGTTCCACTGGTGCCACTGAGCTAAAAATTGGTGGGAATGTTAAGGAAAGGTAGCCAACAAAGTGTTGCTAGATTTCGACCTTGTCAAAACTTTAATATGACAGCCAGGGAGGCCATTTGGTAACATGATTTTGCAAGCATGGTTTTCCTTTGCAATACCTATTTCATACTTCTCAAGTTTCATCAGCTGGATTGAACTTGAAAGGTAGCACTTGTTACAGTTACCTATTCCTCACCAAAACTACAATCAGCAACATAGAAAACAGCTTCTTAAATATAAAACTATGAAATAACCCTTCTCCCTGCTGAAAGTTTTTGTAGTCTGATGACCATTAAGGCCCATGGGCCTCTTGTTTTTAAACAGAATGACAAAAGTCACCATTCACTTAATGTAAATCAAAGTGAGTTGTCTATCTTTCTGTTTCTTGTTCCAAAAAGCTAGTGAATTGGACTTAATGTATTGTTCCCTTGCTTTTTGAAACTGGGGACACAGCTCTACCCCTAACAATGTATAAATGAGTGCTTGGAAACCAATGGTATAAGTCTTGAATCTCACCAGTTTAGGGGGGGGGGTGTGCACCCTAATTTGTGGGATAATGGGGAACACTGAATGATGCATAAATTTATTTATACAAATTGATAGAATAGGATGCTTTAGGGTCACTATATATAGTGTTAATGTCAGTTGTGTTATACCCTGCAGAGGGTATTTGTATTGCAGTGAAATGTGATGTAGAATATTGATGCTCTTACTCAGTTCCTGATAAAAGTCTTCATCTAGTTCAGGCCCAGAACATCTGACAGGTTATTATTACTTTATGTGTATTATCTATATAGCTAAAACCTTTCATCTTTATATAAAAATAAATTTACGTGATTTTGTTTCATTTTACAGGAAAATCCTCTGTCACTATACAGTTTGTCGAGAACCACTTTGTGGACTCCTATGATCCGACGATTGAAAACAGTATGAAAAATATTATTATTTATACTTATAACTAAAGATATGCAAATATATAAAATTATGTTTATAATAACTATTGTATATTGTATATATATATATAATAATAAGATATATGATAATGGTATATGTAAAGAATATAGAAAATAAGAATATTTATACATTTCAGTTAAGAAAGTTTAACTAGAATGTTTGTTATAATGACTTGTGTATATATATGATATTTTTATGCATGAGAAGCATTGTAATGAGACACTCTATTAAGTGTTGTGTTTATGTAGGAGATGGGATTTGTTGTTTATACATAATAACAAACTGGACTGTATAAACTGTATCTTGTGGTTTTGTCCTTGCAGCATTTCAGAAAAACCAGAAGATTAATGGTCAGGATTACATGCTTGATGTTGTAGATACTGCAGGACAGGTATTGTAGTTACTAGATATAGACTCCAACATCCGTGTTCTCATACAGTATCTCACTGACCACACAGTGCTAGATTTTTCTGTCTCGTCAAGTCTGTCTGGTTGTTTTAAAAGAGATCATGATTAAAATGATATCATATATCTAGTTGTCAATCTGACAATGCCCTCAAGGTATACTGTGTGGAATTCATCTGGGTTGAGGTAATTAGAAGGAAAATTATAAGTTTATGTGCACTATAATGAGTTAAAACTGGAATATCACATTCCAGCCATGTATACAAGGTGTGTTTGGAATTCATGACAAGTCCATGTGTCACTGTAAACATATATACTGTATATGATAGGTGGGTTGGGAATTCATGACAAGTCCATGTGTCACTGTAAACATATATACTGTATATGTAGGTGGGTTGGAAATTCATGACAAGTCCATGTGTCACTATAAACATATATACTGTATATGATAGGTGGGTTGGGAATTCATGACAAGTCCATGTGTCACTGTAAACATATATACTGTATATGTAGGTGGGTTGGGAATTCACAAGTCTATGTGTCACTATAAACATATATACTGTATATGATAGGTGGGTTGGGAATTCATGACAAGTCCATGTGTCACTGTAAACATATATATTGTATATGTAGGTGGGTTGGGAATTCACAAGTCTATGTGTCACTGTAAACATATATACTGTATATGATAGGTGGGTTGGGAATTCATGACAAGTCCATGTGTCACTATAAACATATATACTGTATATGATAGGTGGGTTGGGAATTCATGACAAGTCCATGTGTCACTATAAACATATATACTGTATATGATAGGTGGGTTGGGAATTCATGACAAGTCCATGTGTCACTATAAACATATATATTGTATATGTAGTTGGGTTGGGAATTCACAAGTCTATGTGTCACTGTAAACATATATACTGTTATGGTAGGTGGGTTGGGAATTCACAAGTCCATGTGTCACTGTAAACATATATACTGTATATGTAGGTGGGTTGGGAATTCACTAGTCCATGTGTCACTGTATACATATATACTGTTATGGTATGTGGGTTGGGAATTCACAAGTCCGTGTGTCACTGTAATACATATATACTGTTTTGGTAGGTGGGTTGAGAATCCATGACAATTTCATGCATTACAGAATATCAGCCCTTGACTTAGATAAATTGATGTCCAACACAAAACATTGTCTTTACTATGTTAGATAATTATTTTGGATAAGAATTGTTGAATAGTAAGCAAATATCATGTGATATGATAGTATTTTCCTATCTTTATTAATCAACTCTTAAGATAATTTATCATTTTGTCTGATATATTCATTGGGAGGGTTGATTAAAATATTTTTCAAACTTTTATGATATTTGTATCAATATTCTGAAGGAGGTTAATGAGAACAACTTTTCTAGAGAAAGAGAAAAACTGAAATTTAACGTTTTACCAGTATATATGAGTAAAGACTGAATCACATTCCACAGAGCTGCATCTGATTTAAAGTTTAGAGAGTATTTTATATACTAATAGATAATTTGTTATACATGGTCTTTGTGATTGAAATCCTTTCTGAAAGTATAAATGAACATTATAGAAAATAACAATGATTTTGTAGCAGTTTTATTTCTGTCGAGTAATAATGATTTCGTAGCAGTTTTGCTTCTGTCGAGTAACAATGATTTCGTAGCAGTTTTACTTCTGTCGAGTAACAATGATTTCGTAGCAGTTTTACTTCTGTCGAGTAACAATGATTTCGTAGCAGTTTTACTTCTGTCGAGTAACAATGATTTCGTAGCAGTTTTACTTCTGTCGAGTAACAATGATTTTGTACCAGTTTTACTTCTGTCGAGTAACAATGATTTTGTACCAGTTTTACTTCTGTCGAGTAACAATGATTTTGTACCAGTTTTACTTCTGTCGAGTAACAATGATTTTGTAGCAGTTTTACTTCTGTCGAGTAACAATGATTTCGTAGCAGTTTTACTTCTGTCGAGTAACAATGATTTTGTAGCAGTTTTACTTCTGTCGAGTAACAATGATTTTGTACCAGTTTTACTTCTGTCGAGTAACAATGATTTTTCTCTTTTCAGGATGAGTACTCCATTCTACCTCAGACTTACTTTATGAGTATAGATGGTTATATACTCGTGTACTCTGTCAACTCGCGTAAAAGGTGAGATATTATACCAGTACATCATCTTTTACAGATGTACTCTGTCAACTCACGTAAAAGGTGATATATTATACCAGTACATCATCTTTTACAGATGTACTCTGTCAACTCGCGTAAAAGGTGAGATATTATACCAGTACATCATCTTTTACAGATGTACTCTGTCAACTCACGTAAAAGGTGAGATATTATACCAGTACATCATCTTTTACAGATGTACTCTGTCAACTCACGTAAAAGGTGAGATATTATACCAGTACATCATCTTTTACAGATGTACTCTGTCAACTCAAGCTCAAGCTAGTCAAATCACTGTCATACAGGAATTAAATGACCTGAAGATGCAAGATGCCTTCACTGTTCAAAGGCTATCATAATAGCTGAGCTGGTCAGTCCACAGAGAAAAAGCCAACTTTAAGACTGATGACCTCCCCTCTGACCAAAGAAAGGTCACTATCTATATTAAGTCTATTGTAATGGTCAAGCTGGTTGTGCACTGTGAATTAGCTTGCATTAAGACTTCCTCTCTGACCAGACCATGGTCAATAGTTATACATAGGTGATGGTAATGGTCAGTCTGGTCATGGGCCTTTGAATTAGCTGACCTTTAGACACAAGACCTCCTTACTTACCAGACCATGGTCAATAGCTTTACATAGACTAGGTAATGGTAATGGTCAGTCTGGTCATGGGCCTCTGAATTAGCTGACCTTTAAATACAAGACCTCCTTACTTACCAGACCATGGTCAATAGCTTTACATAGACTAGGTGATGTAATGGTAAGTCTGGTCATGGGCCACTGATCAACCTTTCTTAAGGTCTAAACATGTTTACCAGCACAGAAGGTTTTTCAATATGTTTAAATGGTTGTTGATAGAGGCAACTTACTGGAGCAGAGAAAAAATGATCTTTTTATACAGGAGACCTATATATAGAGGCTCAATTGCTGTGAGTTTGTATTACGTAGAAAACCAAAAAAATGGCCTTTACAGACAAGTGGCTTTTGTATAAAGGTGGGCTTAAAGACAGGTTTGACTGAATTACGGTGAATTGTATTAATAGACAAGTGGTTTTGTGTAAAGGTGGTCTTTAACCCTTTCGGCGCCAATTATCTCTTACAATGTACAGCTCAGTGCCAAATATTTTACGAGAAATATCCGAAAACATCGGAAAAATTGTCGACCAAAGTCGCCTACGGCGGCCTGTCTGCATGTCGACCAAAGTCGCCTACGGCGCCGAAAGGGTTAAGACAGGTTTGATTTCTTTTTTTGTATGTTGTTTTGGTTTTGTCCAATCTCAAAATTTGTAACGTTGGCTCATTACACACATTGTATTTTCAGCTTTGATGTTGTCAAGGTGATTTATGACAAACTGTTGGACATGAAAGGCAATATAAAGTAAGTGACTGCGGGAAACTCTACAACACCAGGGCCCGTATTCACGAAACCGTTCTCATGCTTAAACTCAAGGTTTTGTACTCAAAATTCAAGTTTTGTGTTCACCTATTAAATTCTCATGCTCAAGTTGTATCCATAGAAAATTCTGTGCTCATTTTTTGAGCACGTTCTTAAGTTTGTTTGAGCATGGTCTTGCCCATGCTTGGGTATCATTCTCATCATGGTGGCAGCATGTTTCATACAGAGCGAAATCTGTGAAAGAAGTATTCAAAAAGTAAGAAAAAAGAGAAATATTTGTTTATGAGGGTAAATGTGGTGTATCAAGTATTTACATAAATTTCTTATACTTTCGAATTTAGCATATCGGTGATGTCATCCCATGTATTTTTTCCTTTTCGCAATTAGTTTTATGGCCCCAGAACTAGTCATTGATCCAAACAGTACATCCTCGCTGGCAAGTACTGCTTGGATCAAGGAGACTTCTTCCGCTGTACTTCACTGTGCTTTCTTTTTCTCGATGGCCATTATTATGTCATCTGCTCGAATACAGGTGCATGTACACGAAAAACCGTGTGCCATACAAAATAATCTCCAAACATTAGAGAGTTCTCTTAGTTACCATGCTCAGCAGAGCACGTTCTCAGAAAGTTTGATGAATACAAATTTTGAGTACGTTCTCACTGGAGCACAGACTTGAGCATGAGCACAAAAGTTGAGTTTGAGTGTGAACACAGTTTTGTGAATACAGGCCCCGATTATTATACCTATATAGGTGAGATTTACATACATCTAAAAATAAATCTCACCCAAACTATTCATAATTTTATAAAGTTAACAAAATATGTTGAAGACATGTTTACATTTACATATAGAGTATACAGTTAATGGTATTCCTATTGATGAAAGGTGAAGAACTATACAGATACTGTAGACATTTTTTGTATTTTCTTTTTAAACTGTTTGCCTTTGTATGACTGAAGTAACTTTTTGGATGGGGGTTATCTCCCTTACAGAGTGCCTGTTATACTAGTGGGGAACAAGAGGGATGTAGCTGAGCAGTTTCCTGGTGAGAGGTAGGTATATATTCCCAGACTCTTATTGTCTGTTCAATCTTTTAATAGTACAGAATTTTTCATTGTTGGGCTCACATTTTTGATCTTAAGATGTTTGTTTTAACTGGACATTTGATTTCGAGGATAAATCTTGCTAATGATTTTCATTAGTATTATATAATTCAAGTCAGTTTTAGTTGTTTATCATATCATGGAGATATAAATTTAGATTTAAAGCTTTGCTGTCATCATCATAGTTCAGGGTGGGGGGGTATCTAGATTCTAGATTACCTTTTGCCCACATGCTGGGTTTCATAATCTGTATGTCCATTTCATATGAAGGTTCCCCTTTGTCCCTAATTATGCATATCATTTATGGAACCATCTTTAAGTTGTAGCCTGTAATTGCTCTATTTTCAGGAGAATGTAGATATAAATTGTACTCCAATTTCTTATATACACTCCCTTTTGTACTTAGTATTTTATATACATATCTACATCTGGATATTATATGGATACTGTATATTCTGATTTCACCAGTTGTGTCGCAAACTTTATTTTTTTTCTATAACCAGGTAAATGAAGCGGTATATGTAACAGGCGACTCCAATTTTATATGTTAAAGCACTAGTTGTATGTTGTTTTGATGTCACACATGCCAGCTACTTACACCTTAGATAGGGATATTCCATGCTCACAATATGGAGGATACTGCTGCCTTTGATGGGAAAATGTATTTTGTAAATTTTATTTTGATGCTGTGATTTATAGGGCGGTGCCAGAAGATGAAGCTAAAAGTCTTGCTAAGGAGTGGGATGTTCCCTTCATGGAGACATCAGCCAAGGAGCATGAGGTCTGTTTAAGTCTGCATGTGTAACTTTATAACTGGTCTGTCGAACTGTTACCGTAAACAGAAATGTTGAACTTATCACACAGGGATTATTTATACATAGTATCTGACCTGTGTAAATTTATTTAATGGGGTTGCTAAAATGAGCGTTAATGGGGATGTTTTAATAGGCTTTAATGGGGGATGTTAAAACGAGCCTTAATGGGGATGTTTAAATAGGCTTTAATGGGGGGGGGGGGTGTTAAAACAAGCCTTAATGGGGATGTTTAAATAGGCTTTAATGGGGGATGTTAAAATTAACTTTAATGGGGATGTTTAAATAGGCTTTAATGAGGGATGTTAAAAAGAGCTGTAATGGGGATGTTTAAATAGGCTTTAATGGGGAAGTTAAAATGAACTTTAATGGGGATGTTAAAATAGACTTTAATGGGGGATGTTAAAATGAGCTGTAATGGGGATGTTTGAATAGACTTTAATAGTGGATGTTCAAATGAGCTTTAATTGGGATGTTTGAATAGGCTTAATTGAATTTTTAATTGTGGCATCTCATTTTTTCTTTATCACAAATCAAAGATATATGTATTTCCATTTTGTAGATTTGTATGTAAGTAGATTCAGGAAAAGTTTTTCTCAATGTGCTTGGTCCGCAATACCTGAGTTAGTATAATGTTGCGTATAGATACAGCACAGTTGAGGTGATTTGGTTCTCAAACCCTGAGGTAGTGACAAACTAAGGGTGAGTGGAAGGGATTAAAATCACCTAGGATTCTGCCCAAGCAATGTCATAGGAACATAGGACTTGGTTTTTCCCTGGGCAATATTGCAGAAAGATAGCTTCCACAGGGATGGCCAGCGATGAGGTTTAGAGGCTAGGCGATGTCACATAAAGATCATTCCTTTTATGATGACGAGCTATGAATAGTTTCTAGGCAACCTTTCCTTATATCTGCAAGTTTAGAAGTGTTCTTGATATTGTATGTACTTTACGAAAACCTTCACAGGCCTAACACGTGTTTTCAGCCCATTTGACAGTTGTATGATAACAACTGACCGCCTTTTACTATAAAGTCTTACCATTTGCTATTTCCTGTGCCAGTAAACTGCATCAGTTTCATATTGTTAAAAAAGCGGTTCTTTATCATCTTTATCCTTTTACGCGGAGAGTTGATAGGACAACTTAAATGTTCAAAGAATATTTGTTGGTTTGCCACATTTCTATATTCATGAACTTGCTTCAACGTAATACTGGTTAGACAAATTGTTTTTGTCCATTCTCGGTGTATTGTTGACCTCTTTCCAGGTGCCACTGGTGTATTCAAATGACAGGAATGATACAGAAAAAACATTTCAAATATATTTTTGAATCGGCGATTAACACAAAACTTGCCTTTATGAAAGGAAAGTTAGCAAGAGAACCAAGATTTGCACTGTTATGCTATAGGGAGACATTCCCCAGTCAGCCAGGTGTATACACTGTATTTTTGTTATGAAGCCATGTATTTCTTGTTGTTAAGCAAACCTCACAATGATACACGTAATTAATCATATCCATCATATTATTTCAATTTAGCTATGTGTAACATAAAAGGTTCAGCAGATCGGGTGAAGAAAACCAGAAATTTACAGCCATGATCGGGGAATAAAAACTTAATAAGTTGTAAGCTGGTAATACTCAAATGGGTAAATTTTCATCACAATTTTGTTTATATGTTAATATACTCATCTGTTCTTTATTACACAGAATCATAAACAAAAGTAATCAAGATATTTTAGAATTATTTTTTTTCATTCTGCATATGTTCTCCCATACATGCAGAGACGTAACACTGTCTTCCACAATATTGTTTCTCAAGAAGCTGAGAAATGGACTGGTCTGTGCTATTGTGGTGGTGTCCTTAATCAAGACCGTTACCGCGATTGCTCTGTATGATATGTGAAGGGCGTTCCTAATGTTGTTCATTGAGGTAGCCACCAGTTTTTATAAGGAGACCCTGCTGCTATATGATCCAGCTGGTCGATTGGACGATAACCCCAGCAAACAAACCAATAAAGTATCAGTATATTGAAATATAAATAAGTAATCACAATAGGAGGTGATAATTAGAAGGGAAAAAAGTCTAGCACATCTGATGACAATTTTCTTTTGTTTTTCAGAGTGTAAAAGAAGTGTTTTCCAAAATCATCATGGCAATCGAGCGAGTGGAAGGAAATGAGCCAGAGAAACCCTCGTGTATACTGTCATAGTGATCGTTTAGCACACCATCATACAAATCTATAGTAAACATGACCTAAGAAATTTTACACATGTGAACTAATATATGACATCACACTGACTTCATCTGTGACATCACGCTGATTTTATCTGTGACATCACTTTGTGACATCACATTATGACATCACACTGATATCACAAAGTGAAATTACATTGTGACTTCATCTATGACTTCATGCCCTGATGTCACCTGTTACACAATGCTGTGATGGTATCATCTGTTCACACCTGTAGAGCTATCTTATGTAAGGTATTATTTGACCTACTAACAAGGATTTGTCTCCCTATTGACTGGTTTTGTGTTTGTTGGGGATGATTAATTTGGTGTTGTTGCTGTATTTCAGTATTTTCAAGTCTTACCAATCAGTTTTTTGTTGTTAAAAATAGAAATTTGTATTAAAATACATGTAAGTACTCTATTGATAAAACTTGTCAAAATTGGAGACACAGATCAATAAATCTAATATGTAAAATATATTACTGTTGGGCCAAGTAATTCACATTCAAGAGAAGATATTTGCATGAGAATCTTGTACATGTATTTCAGGTCAGAAAATGAATTGGTGTTTTGTATTTCACGAACATGTTACAGAGGTCCTTCTTCAAGGACAGAAATCGTTAACACAGATAACAAATGAAATGATGATACTATGTGTCATTGTACATGATTTTTGATTGGTTGTTCAAGTGAAGTATTGTCATCACTACTGATTAATTTGTTTAATTTCTGGGGGCTAATATTTTGTCTCAGTTTGGTTCATTTCACAGGGATTAAGTTTTGCTCATGTCTATGAGCTGGTGTCCATGTAAACAGACAGATATTTGGTGAGATATTGACTGTACAAATTTTAGCTGGGTATATAATTTAACTCTATCTTTGTTAACTGCAAATATAGTTAAATTAAATCTCCTGCTAATATAACCACCCATACCTTGATAGAATGTATTTTTAGTACAAACAAACATGTATTAACAAACCAATGTGGCTGATCATGAAGCTCTGTAAGATTTTAAATATGAAATAATGAAGCATTATATCTCTGTAAAACATAAGGAACCATTTAATATCTTAACAGTTGATACTGATGTCTCCAAACGACTTTCATTCAATATATACTGTGAGACTATAAATTGGTCCAAAATGTCTGCCAATGGACAAGTTTTGTATGTTGATTTATTGTTGGTGTTTCATTCCTGTGTAGTGAACAGAATGTAGGCATGAATCAATCTCCTGTCACTTTCCGTTTTGATTTATATATCAGAAATGTGTATGTTTCCTGACATCAGTTAAGGAACTGAATGGTATTTTGTATGAAATGAAGTTTGTGATGTAATATTGAAAAAATTGAATAGTGAAACAAAGAAAAAAAAAGATGCCATTAAAGGACTGCAGTAATTGGTATTGATTGATTTAGGTCTTATAGTTGGTGTAAATGGATGTATTTTAGCAGAATCAAATTATCAGGCATCAATTTTGAACAAATTAGCACAGTGATGAATTAGTTTGCAAAAATAACTTCATTACTGATATATAGAAACTGGAATTCGTACAATCATATTACTGCACAATATCTTAGGTGCAAAAAATGTTAAAATTGATTACAGTTAAAATGTGTACCTTTATAGTCTAAGTTATTACAGTAAGAAAGAGTATGAATTTCTCAATCATAATTTCTCATCTTAAGTCATTAAAAAGTACTAAAAAGGAGAGAAAATAAGTCAGATCATGCTAAATTTTCACCTATTTGGGTAATTTATGTCATTAGCAATGTAAATGTAGTGACTTTTACAGAATCTGATTGTTCTGACTCCATGTTTCAAATGTGGTTTATTGAGGAGTTACTTCCCTTAGAGGTTTTATGACCATTTCTAGTGAGAACATTTCCCGTTTTCAATATCCTTTATTAGAATTCTTATTTTTTGTTTGTTGTATTTGGTAAACTTGTATTTACATTGGTACAATGGTTCTCAGCAGTATATTCTTTATCATTACCTTTTCGTGTGGTAATGATATGCAAAGATAAACAAAAATAAAGACAATTAAAAAGAATTGTTAAGATTCACTCCGAGTGCTGCAATTATAATTTTCATGATATCAATGAAAATTTGGGATTTAAAAACCAATAACTGAAAGTAAAATTTGATTCATTTATTTCCTGAAACAGAACATAGTACATCACTTTAAATAGCAGGTTAATGTGATTATATACAAATTTCATAAATGATTAAAAAGATTTTTTTTGTTCAAACTAATCGCCGAATCAGCCTTAGTTTGAAGTTTTGAAAAATCCTTAATTTTAAAAACCACCATGTGATTCAGTTTTATAATTGTCGCACTAATACATGTCCAGCTAGTCAGACTCACTACATATAGATACAATAAAGATGCTGTAGATGAAGATAAGCATAGATCCAGCTGTCTGTTTGCTTTCTCTAGGAGTGCTAATACAAAGACAACTGCTGCTTTTAATCTCACACATGTTAGTTTGTACAATATCCCCTGCTTCTGTAATCAGTAATAATCTTTGTCTCATATTGGTTTTTATTTATGAAACTAATACTTATATTCAGGGATGATCTTAATAAAAGTAGCAACAGTGCAGAATAAAAATTGCTCTCAAGAATCAGGGAAAAAACCTGATGAAAAAAGTGTATTAAAAAAGCATCATTAATGTGAAAAAGAAATTGTGTTAGACTAATAAAAAATCAAAATATACAGACTATAAAATAATATGTTGTGAGGTTAAACAGAATTAAGGGTAGGAAGTCATTTACAGTATTAGGTGTCTCTTGCCAAACGTTCACGATGTTTTTAATTGTTGTGTGTAGTAGTGTTATCTCCCTTGTTTTTTCTGTCTGAAGTTTAGTGATGTTTTCATTTTCTGTTAAAAATGCTGATGAGTTTATGCTTCCACAATTTCCTAGGGAAGTTGAAGAGTATATATGGTATTACCTATGTTCGTGGTATATATAGTGTTACCTATGTTTGTGTGTCTGTCCTGTTCAAAATGATTGTTATATTTCAAGACTCACTGGACATTTTTGGCTCATATTTACTCCATAATACCATAACATTCCATACCTGATCGGATTCGGGCGGTAATTAGTTTAAGTTTAAAAGTCAGAAGCCACATTTGAAAATTCTTCAAATTTATGGAACAATGATATTGATATGTATGGAAGCAGAAGCATTCTTAAACATTTTCTACTTTAGACAATGTAGTTGTATTTGTTTCTTTGAGAATTAAATGCAATTTGATTTTTTTTCTTTTCAATTTTTGAAAATAATGACAGTAGAAGAAAACACTGCCTTGCTAGCTTGATGTTCCAAGCCCTATGTTATACACTGTTTATTGTATTATGATAGTAGTAAGTATGTAACTTTTACTGTGAACAGACATTGATTAAACAAATGTTTTATTAGAAGTTTTGTAATCATATTCAGATCTTAAATACAGGACATTTCACTTCTTCATTATTGTACATATATAAACTTGAAAAAGAAAAAAAATAGCATCATTCTTGATTATAGTTTTTTTAGTTGCGGTAATATTCCAGCATCATTCTTTTGATTTAAAATTCATCTCTCTGTTATGAACATGTATTTCTTTTGTTTCTGCAAGGATTTCCTATTTTGATCCTCAAGTCTGACTGCACTCCTTAGTTAAGTCATCATTATTCCTGATAAATGACATAAGTGTGTTGATAAGATAATAATTGTTTGTTTGAAGTGTGTTTATTAGGTAGAGTTTTTTAGGCTGTAGTTTATAAGACTTGCTTATACATTTAGTAAAATTGAGTTCACCTTGCTTAATGTAACTACATGTTGTTGGTTAATGTCACTGATTGATTATTATCACTGATTGGTTAATATCACTTAATGGTTAATATCATGTGGTTTTATTGAACATCTCTTAATATCATGACCTTTTGTTGAAGTTTCCAGTATCTTACAGACCTACAAGGCAATGAACTCCTGGTCCACAGATTTATAAAAGATCTCTATAAGAAAACCTTGCAAGTGGTTAAAAGATTTCTGCATTTTTTTTTTTACTTTTTCACTTAAATTCATTATTAACTGGGATATGTATACAATAAAACACTGCTTTCTATTAAAAAACATGACTTCATGTAATCATGCTACAATTTTTTTATTTAGAAATATATTATTTTGTACAAGTTGCCATTAATTATAAGAGGAATGTGTCTGTTATATTCAACATATACTTGAAGGCATATCAGTATCATCCTTTGTCAGTTCTTGTCCTTGTCCTTACTCCAAAGCCTCCTTGGATATTCTCAGACACTCTTTTGATAATCTGTTATCGCAAAAGTTTGCATATACTTAACCTCATGGAATGATGTTATATACCATACTTATTTGGTAATAAGTCCATGCCTGGTAATAAACCCACTCAAATCTAGCTGTAGATATACCATACCATCAAATCATTTTCCTGTAATAAGTCCCAATTTAGAGGCGATACCCCCACGACCACCATCACCACTAAACACACACACACCTGCCACCACAGGTTTATTGTGGGGTAGAAACTCCTCACTTGTTGCCTACTTTAAATGGAGGGAGTACCCTATATTATATGTAATAATGTTACACCCAGGTAACCCTTATTTTGGTAACAATTGATATGCTACATATTGTTTCACTCCTCTTTATCGTGAAGGAAGTTTTAACATGTGAAATAGTGTATTTGATAAAGTATTTTTATCATATTAAATTTATCTTATATACTTTAATACAGGTGTGTAATTTAGCTATGGAACACCTATAACTCTCACACTTGTTTTCACCAGTGACAATACTGATGAAAATTTCACAGCAGTGTTATATCTGGTGTCAATTCTCTGTTTTGCAGACTAGATATATCAGATAACAGGTTTTATCCAGCTCATTACTAAAGGAATCAGAGCTGACTAGATATATCAGATAACAGGTTTTATCCAGCTCATTACTAAAGGAATCAGAGCTGACTAGATATATCAGTATTAGATGTAAGTTACCAAATTATTGAGCGTATTTTATTTAAGGATTAACATGTAGGTACCAGACCCACTGTCAGGATACAAAATCGTAAAACATCTAACTCGTTTGGATATTACTACTGAGATGTTAAGCATTTATTTAGTAGATATAAACATATCAAAGACTCTAAAAAGGTCAAGAGGAGTTATCCACTGCATAGGGACTTGGTACATGTTCAACACTCATACTCTGTTGTAATATAAGTACCGACCATTGTGGAGGAGAAGTACCCAGCCCCTGTGGTCCAGTATGTTGTATTTTCAGTGTGAATGATTGTAAGTCAGCATAAAAGGTACAACGAAGTCAAAAGTTGATGAAAGGGAGATAACTGTTCACATGTATATGAATTGAGACACTTTCAAATACATGTATTTATTTGTTTTCAAAATTCTTAGAAGACAATTAGGTAATTAATTCTTTTCAACTTTAACTTTCTTCTCTACTTAAACTTTCTAGTCATGCTACATTTATGTTTATTTGTATTGAACTGAAAGAGCTCATTGGATGAGGTTTAAGTGTATATAGTGATTGTACAGTATAACCATTATTGAATAACCAAGTGACATCCAAACACACCTCAAGAAGTAGTATCACCTTATCACTGGTGTCATGAACTGTGTGTTAATTTTATGAGGTATGATTTTTTTTTCTGGAAAACAAGTTATCTCCCCTGTGTATGGTTGTACTGTCATACCAACATATTGTAAAAATATCATCCATGAAACATCAATAAAATGTCAATATTTTCCTTGTTGTTTGTTTGTATTAATTAACTGATGTATGTGGTCCTTCTGTATGTGTCTTTTTAGCAGCATTTTCATAATAAATTTTTCAATGGGAACTTGCATGGTCCAAGAGATTATGAAATTCTTTCAAATGCAGAAAAATAATATGGAATTGATGAGTCAGGACTTCACTATGGAAGTCCAGTTTTCCTCATGCTAATCCTTCTGTGATGTTTAAATATTTTGATATTGTTAAATCACATGTGGGAAAGTTGCATGTATGAGATCGTTAAATACTTTTCAGTTTCAACAGTATATACTGTTTTATTGATCACACTCAGCAAGCTTTTGATGGATTAGAAAAATCACAATAATTAAGAGCTGAAAGACTCATGGTCATGATCTACATGTTATCTTGATGCTGAAAGTAATGCATACATTGTATATATAATGCGAGATTGTAATTTAGAGTACATGTATCTACACCTCCCTTTTCAGCATCTGCCTCTCAATAAGTTACAAAACCAAAATATAGTACATGAACATTCAAGATGCTTATATGGTCCCAAATTATTTCCTCTGTTGTCAGTATAAGTTGGATTATCATCGTTGATCCATACACAGACAGAAAATACAAATTTGAAAAACATGTATTTATCAATATTCCCCATATGTTGGACATGAACCAGATTATCATCCTAGCTAAGTGACAGACCTTTCTCCCCACAATATCAAGTACTTGGATTCTTTAGTTTGTGGCAATATTAAGACCAGTTTCCACCCATTTTGAAAAAAAGTCCCCTTTCTGATAGAATTAAACAAATTACATATCTATCTGAACAAAGTACAAAATCTTAAATGCTTTATTGCATAACTTAAAAGGGAGAATTCCATCGAACACGTCAGACTGACTTAATAACATGCAAATAAGGCAGCTATATTTAATCTTCGAATCCCATAGCTCTCATGGTGCGCAGCACATGTAGGGAAACAACATGGCCGAAAGAAACATACTGATTAGCTTACTGGGTGCAGGTGTATCGACTATCATTTCTGAGTTTATGTAATGGCCGAGGTATTATCAGTTATTATACTTCGACAGTGAAGACGTGTAGTATCTCGGGTTGGTTTTTGTCTGGTTGTTAATTCTGGAAATGTGTGATTGCAAAACGGATCGTTCAAAACCGCGATCGAATCCGAGATCCGTGAAATACTACTTTCTCTTTCATCAACATTATAAGAAAGAAAACGAAAAGACGGGTGTAGATTCGGATAGTGAATTTGTATTTTAGATAAAATATTTGCGCGAGCTTTTAATGTACAATAACCATTTTTAGTTATAAAAGTGTTCAAAATTTTTTCATGTTCATTAATAGATGAAAAAATTGGATGACAACGGAAACCTCGCGTCGATTATAGATAGTAAACCAGTCTCTAGCGTTATGATGGGAAATATAGGATCTTACAGAATTTTCTGTTTCAAATTTGGCAAGAGATTTACAAAATGAGCCCTATTTCTTAATATTGATTTGCTCTTCATATTTTCTTTAATTTGTTTGTTTTGTTTTGTTTTCATTTTAGCTAGTGTTTGGCGAGCTTTACTTAAAGAGCCGGACACACTCCTCGACCGATATTATTTTATATAAAAGAAAAAGAAAAAAATCATGATTTTCTATTTTTCTAGGGAAACAAAAGTTCTGACTAACCCTGTAATGCCCTAATTTTAAAGTAAATCGCTACCAATCTAACGTAATAAATAGTTTTAAAAAAGAATTGGAAACGACTCAGTTTGGTTATTCATAATTATGCGGGAAGTCCTGCCCTTTGACGCATGCGCAAAGAACTGTAAATAAAAAACCAACATGGCAGAAAACGTGCGAGGGAAGCGGGGAAGAAAACGTGTTTTGACGGAATCTGAGGCGAAAAGAAGGAAGATGGCTCGAGATCGTGATATATCAAAGGCAAAGATTTATATTGGCGAGCATACGGAAAGATGGAATGCTATGAAGATCGAACTGAATTTAAAAACAAATCACGAATTAGCAGATATTTTGCTCGAAAGGTAAGAACTCAATCCACAAACATAAAAATACGGGACAATTAAAGCTTGAATATTTATGTTTGGTTATTTTGTGCACGTGATTAAAGTATGTTTGTTGCTTTTCATGACACAAAATGACATGACAGCTAAAGAAACTAAGACAAATACAAAATTTCTCATTTCTATGATGTCTCAAATTTAGAAACAAAATCTGGTATCGTTTTTCAACGCAAATTTATCCCATAATCCTGTGCATCATTTTTAATGCAACAGATGATATAGATACAGGTGTGACAAACTATGAACACTCAACAGTCGAACGATTTCATGAATAAGATAGGTGAACAACAATTGATCGCATCAATGTATTTTAAAATATAACCTGTGTAAATAAAGGTTAAATGGATTATAATTATCGACTATCTTTATTGCGTTTCTCCTCCCTGCCTCACGTCTTGCAGGTCTGCCTCTGCCTCTCCCTTGGGTTCTTCCTCTGGCTTCGTGCCCTCGACTGGCTGGCTCATACTCTGTATCGCTCTCTGTTTGCCTCTCTAGTGTAGTATCACTCTAAAATCATATTCATAAATATACTTATTATCGAATATTCTCTTTAGTTGGATCCATTTCGCGATGTTCTATATGTTCGTTACAGTATCATAGCACCCATTTGAGGGCCTCTTTGCAATTAACCGTAGCGATGTCACATGGACGTACTACTCACCTCTTCCTTCATTTTTTTTTTTTGGTTCTGACCGCATCTGAACCTATCACATAACTTTTCCTCATCAATATTCATATCCTGGAGTTGATTAATGAGAATAATTACGGCACTGATATCTCCGGTACCCTTTCAATTTCGAAACTATATACAAGTCTTTATTCATATATTATCTATTAGTACACAACAACATTTCCAGTCAAAAAAATATGAAAAAATATCTATAAAGGAGTGGGTCTGGCTCTTTAAGAGACATCTGCCTTAGGTATGAGAACAAGAATTAGAAAATGTAAGTTATCCTTTAATACCCAGCAATATAGTTTACTTAGTAAAAATGATACTGTGTCAACAGGTAGAAAGAGGTGGGAATACTTTGACTTTACTGATAATATCTGGAGAAATATTTATAAAATGCCTTTTCAAGTAACAAAAAATACAAAATTACAGTGGTTCCAATACAGATATTAATTAGCACATCTTAACGACTAACTTATATCTACATAGATCTGGATTAGTAGATAATCCATATTGTTATTTTTGTAAGTCAGAAATAGAAACCAATTGAACATGCAATATGGGAATGCATTCGGGTGCAAAACCTCTGAACAAACTTTGAAACCTTGTTAGATTTATTATTTATCCCTTTTTCTTTTAATAAAGAGACATTATATTTGGTATAAATGAGGAAAATCGAATCCGATTCAATGTAGATAATCATGTTATCCTTATCATGAAAATGATAAATATACCCGGTAAACATAATTTTCAAAAAGACTGGGAAAAATGGCAAAATCTTCAAAATATCTCCTAAATCCTTATGCAGATACTTATTGTCAATAGAAACATTATAATATAGATATTATTTCATTAAACTATTTATTACGCTTTCACCGAAACAGGGGATATTAATTTGGGTTTGTCTGTCCGTCCGTCCATCTGTCCATCTGTCTGTCACACTCTCGTTTTAACTTCCCAAATATCATCCAACTTGGTTAGCAGATGCATCTTGGGGTCATTAAGACTGAGTTTGATTATCAGTGTCATCTGTCTATAATTATGCATACTAATGAGGTATCCTTTGATTTCATTGGTCAGTTCATTTCCATGCTCTATCTTCCCTAAATATAATCTGATGAAACCTGGTTAGCAGATGCATATTATGGCACATAAGACCGAGTTCAGCAATCAGCATCATCTGTTAATATCTATGCATACTAATTAGGTATCCTTTCATTTTGTTAGTTTTTGTGCTCTGACTTTCCTAAATATAATCTGATTTGGATGTAACTTTAAGTCCCACAAATATTCATTCTATATAGCATTATGACATGTTTACTCCTAACCTCTAAAATATTTACTTATGTTTGGAAAGTGGGGGATATAAATTCCATCAATTTACTTGTTAAAACTATTATTATGTTAGATTGGTAAAGATTTACTTTAAAATTGCGGTATTACAGGGTTAGTCAGAACTTTTGCTACCCGAGAAAAATAGAAAAAAAAATTTTTATATAAAATAATATCAGTCGAGGAGTGGGTCTGACTCTTTAATAGTAGAAATCAGACCTTGTTACTGAAGAAAGTTGGTTTGAATGTTAAAAATTTGTCTGAATTCTTGTAAAGTATAAAATAAGTTGGTATTATTCCCACTCATAAGATCGTTCACTACGACTATTCCTTTCCTGAACCAGTTTCATAGAAAACACTGTTATTTATTTATTTTGAAAGATTTGTTGTACCATATTGGCTTTTTTTGCAATGGAGTTATCTCCCTTGTATTGATTTTCACTTACTTTGACTAATTTGTTCCATGCATTAAATACATCTTTCCAAAACAGATTTTTGGTTATTTTTCACATTTTAAAATATAATCAGTTCCATATTTTGCTAAAGTGTCTTTATTTATATAAGTTTTTAGAATTTCCTGCCATTTACCTGATGTAATATACAATCTTCTTATCCATGTCAATTTCAATAAAGGACCTTAAATGTATCATTTTCAACCCACCATCTGTATAATTCTTGATTACTATGTCCCTTTTAGTTTTATCTACCTTGTTATTCCATGAGAAGTTGAATAATTCTTTGTTGAGATTTTAAAGAAAATACTCCTCTGGATTTGGTATTCCAATAAATAGGTGATTTAGATAGGTGCAAAATAAGCAATGATTTTATGATATGAATTCTACCTATTGGTGTGGTAATTCTAGACCAAGTACTGAAAAGTGGATAAGTGCCTTTATTTGAACTATGTTTTATCATAATTCAGCCTAGGGATAAGGTGTAAATCTACATGAAAATTGTTGCCAAGGACATTAAATGCTCCAATTCCCCACTGTAATTTCCATTTTGGATATAGAATTTACTCGCTATATTTTTTACTCCCTATCCATATAGCCCGAGATTTTGATATATTTTCAAACCTGAGTTTTTGGCGAAATTATTTAGTTCATTTAATGCTTCTTTCAGAGAAATTTTAGTTCCATCTAAAATTAAAGAGGTATCATCAGCATACTGAGATATTAAAATGGAACAATTATTAATACTGATACCCTTTACCTTTTTATTATTTCTTATTCTAGTACCTCTGCACACATTATAAATATATAAGGAGCTTTAGGATCTCCTTGAGGACAACCCCTTTCTATTTTAAAAAAATCTGATAAATTCATATATCAGCCATGTGTTTTCTCTCCCATAACGACCTGAAATAAAGCCTGTCTGGTCAGAATTAATTTATTTACCTAATACTGTTTTTATTCTATTTGCTATGCAACCTGATGCAACTTTATAGATAATATTTAAAAAGAGATACAGGTCGCCAGTTCTATTTGTCTAGACCTGAGGATAATTTGATTTGTTGACAAACATGTCTGTTTAAGCCTTCTTTTAGCGACTCTATTTACCTGTTTATTTCCTTGGTGTTATTAATACTATTCTATAATACGGGATTACCGTCCACGTAGGTGCCAATACTCCTAGCAGCCTACCTGTACTTAGCCAACTTGTAAACGAATTTGACCAGGGTCGGTGCCTGCAAGGTCAGCATGGTCAGATCATGATTTTACTGTATCGTTGGTAGTATTCGCGGTCGATGTAATGTCCCACCAAACATGATGACGGTGACATTATCTCATTTAATGTTGCAGAATAGGTTGAAGCTGTAGACAATTCGCTCGCCGTTGTCCGCCTTTATCTTCGCTAAATATTGTCTACATGTATTCTCTATGTATCTTTGCTTTCATACCACGGCCGTAACATTCACTAACAAATACGTTTGCCATTCTGTTTGAATTGTTTTATGTTGTGATGGGGTATACAAATATTCACGTGATTCTTTCATTTAACTTTAAGATGAAATATTGCTGGTAGTATTTGTCTCACTGCATATGGTACGTTCAGTAACCTATAATCATGTTTACTCGAGTCATCACAGATGAATGTGTTATATAAAAGTACATATATTTCAATAAGTAGTTTCCAAATGTGGCTGAATTCTACAAAGCGTATTATGAACTTAGATCGAACAGAGCCCGTACTGGACCGACGTAATTTAAAACCACACCGTAAACAACTTTAAATACAAAGATTCGTAAGCGATAATCTGTTTGGTTGGTATACCTAAGCTAAATATTATTTAATACCCTACAACGTCATAGAGTTCAAAAGTATTAGTCTTTATGGCTTGTATCGTTGGTCCAAAATCTAGTATAAATATGCGGTTACCTTGTACAACACTGAAGTATTGCTGGGCATGGCGGTCGTCCACTGCTATTTCTAAACCAGAAAGAGACAATCATGAACTTTGCTGCTCCTTTTCAAACAAGTGTTGACGTTTTCTAAATCCAATAAGGTATTCTGGATAATAAGCACATATTAATTTTAAGGAAAATTTGCTTACAAGATCGTTTAAAAGTTTAAAAATGGCTGGTCGACTTGCTAAAAACGTGACAGAGGAATTTTTAACGTGTTCAGTGTGTTTAGAACGATTCAAAGATCCGCGGACGTTACCTGGATGTGAGCATTCATTCTGTCTGGCTTGCTTAGCCGGACATATAGACAGAACCCGATCGGACGACACATTTTATTGTCCAATCGACCGGACAGAAGTCAAAGTGACCGACGACGCCAATGATCCTTGGATTATTGCAGCACAGTTCGGTGTTGATCAAACACTCGATGGGTTTTTACGTGTCGTGCACAATGATATACGACGGAACAGCGACTGTCTTGCTTTTTATTGCTTCGCTTGTAAGACGTTGACGACTGCAGAGGCTGCGGTGGAAGGACACAAAACAGATGACTGTGAATGTATAAAGGTTTCCAAAGCCTACAAGCGAATTTTACCGTCTCTCGTGGGCTACCGACAGGAGCTGGAAAAGATGCTTCTTGAGTCCGACAGATGGCGGTGGCAGAAGAACGGTCAGATGGGTCTTACTGAATCTCAACAAGAGGTTCTTCAACAGATCGAGTTATACGAGTCTAAACTTGAGACGTTCTACATGCAGACAAAGGAAAAGGTGTCTTTGTTAAAAGGACAGGTCATGGAATATGTAGTCGAACAAGACACAGGTGAGACTCTCGATGATATGGAGACCGTTCGAGATCAAATCAAAGATGCTTATATTGATCTGAACGACGCGATGGATGACGAAAACATGGATTCACTCCTGATGTCATTCTCAGACATGAAGCCACAACTCTCACGACTTCGTAAACGTCTAAACTCTACGCTCGGCAAAAGTACACGGAAGTGTAGCTTTGAATTTGTACCTGATCCAAAACTTCAAGAGCTTTTTCACAATCCACTTAACTTCGGCACTTTGCATTCTATCGAACACTTCAATTTCAGTGGACATCCGGAAGAAGACGATAAAGTTAACTTTTACGATGTTGCCGTGAATGAAAAATATATTGTCATTGCTGACGGCGAGAATGGCGTCATACGGCGATTCCTCATCGACGGAAGTTACGTCGACAGTATGTCCATCACGAACCCATGTAGGATCACTTTCACAGCAGAAAGCGAGATCGCAGTCACCAGATTCTTCAAGAAGAAAATAACAATCGTATCTCTTGGTCGAAAAATGCACGTGAAAGATCATATAAAGACCAAACGACCCTATATTGGGATATGTTTCCTTAACCCGGACAAATTCGCCACGTCCTACTACAATGACGACGAACCATCGGGGATTGATATCATTTCTAAAAAGGGGGAAATTCAACACTCTCTTCTCAGTAACACTTCCGGTGCTGGAACTGATCCACTTTTCATTGTTCCGATGTTCATGACAAAATCATCTTCCGGTAACATCGTCATTTGTGACTTTTGTGATACACGTCACGTGATCTGTGTAAGCGATACGCTCGCGCCTTTATGGTGTCGTCAGGTGGAGAGTATGCCTTGTGGAGTCACGTGTGACGCAGACACGGTCTACGTGACATTGCCTGACGTCAATCACGTAATTGCACTTGATCAAGAGGACGGCGAGAAATTGAGGAATATAGTGAAGCCTACAGACGGTGTTAAACGTCCGTACGCGACAAGTGCTTGTGGTGGAGAACTCGTCATCACGGAGGACAGCTCCGATAAGATTCATATTTTCCGTGTATGACGTCATATATAGCCAATAAGTGTTGACATTTCAGTAATTATATCTTTAATCAAAACCCAGCTGTGTCCAGTATTCCAGGCTGGGCGTCACATATATAATGTCTGTTTGTTGTGTTGCGTCAGGATAAACGCTTTTCTAGAAAGGACACAAGACAGACATATTCCTAGTGTTATGACAGTAGATTTTCTGTCGATCAAGTCAAGCATTCGAGGCTTGGCGTTACGGATATGATGTCTGTTGTGTCACGTCAGAAGAGACGTATTTGTAGAACGGACATATGACAGACATGTACCTAGATTGTTCAGAAAGTAGATTTTCTTAAACTGAGTCTTTGTTATGTCATGTCAAGCGAAACGAAGTTCTGGCACGCATACATGACAGACATGTAGAATGTTAAGACAGCAGATTTTCTGTCGGCCGAGTATGTTTTGCCACGTCAGGAGAGGTATTTTTTAGAATGGGCACATGACAACCATGTACATAGACTGTTAAGACCGTAGATTTTCTGTCGGCCGAGTATGTTGTGTCACGTGAGGAGAGCTATTTTTAGAATGGGCACATGACAACCATGCACATAGACTGTTAAGACAGTAGATTTTCTGTCGGCCGAGTATGTTGTGTCACGTGAGGAGAGCTATTTTTAGAATGGGCACATGACAACCATGTACAAAGACTGTTAAGACAGTTTAGCATTCAGTCCTTTAGGTTTTTCTACTACATCGTTGTATGCACAATTACAAGCTTGAGTGTATAAGTTGTGTTATGATAATGTATAAATGTTATTGCTGTTTGTATTTTTTGTTTGTCGTCGTCGTCGCTTTTGTATATCGTCGTTATTTTTGTTGGTGGTGATTTTGGTCGTCGTCGTCCTTGTTGTTGTTTGGTAATCATTTTGTATGTAGAACACTTATTTCTATATGATATAAACATAACATGTTGATATGTTCTTTGTTTTTGTTTTGTATAACACCACAAGGTAAAGCAGCCTCGCTATCATACAATATAAAACTGATCAGAAGAATGAGGCAAGCTGCCATATTAAATAGAGGTGATTAGACAATAGGGTTCCAACAAATGCTTTGCAAAGGATTGCAATAGTTGTATCAGATTTGAGAAAAATAGCAATTTTTAAAACCTTGGCCAAGTTCAAGTATCAAATAGGTCGTCAGCAAAAATACCCGCCTCTGTCCTTTTTGATAGGAAATATTCATTATGCTTTGGTGCCATATGGAACATACATATTATTATATCGATGGTTGGTCATGCCCCCATAACCTAAACCGCACAAATTCCCTTATTAATATAGGCTCCGATGTAAAGGTGATCTTATGAATTTTCCCTTTTTGTACTCTGTCATAAGATATAGAGATCACTCACCACTTGAAGAGATTCCAAACAATCGAATCAACGGCTTGTGGAATATATGTATATATATTTAATTACTTTAACGCCACTTCTGAGATTTAAGAAAGCAACCTATATGTTGTACAAGTTTCTCCCATGAGTTAGCCTGACCATGGCTTCGGTCTAAATTTGTTTATGGAGTTTGCCCGTAAACAGCCAGTCATTTTGAGGCGGAGTGTCATTGTAATAACTGGTAGTTAACTGAGACCTCATTGAACAATATACTCGAGGCCGTCACATGTCACCCAGAGCAATTAGAGTAAAGTTTCTTGATCTAAGGATACATTCACGACAGCCCACACCTGCCCGTTTCTCAACTTCCTGAAAAATACAGCGTCAAAATAATTTCTCTTTATTGGCGTAGAAGTAGAAAGGAATCTCGAAAAAAATTACTGTCCCTCAAGGTGAAATGAAGTTAGTTCGTACTCATCACGAACTCAGATGAGGGTATCTCTCAAATTATTTGAAAAGGTTATATGAGGCGGTGGCTTGTTAACGTCATTAAGACACTGACACTGAAAAATACAGAGCCTGCATAGATATATAAATGTGTACCGGAATTATGACGGCACTCCGGGGTGTTGATGGAGATCAAGCTCGGCCTTGAAAGAGAAGTGTTTTATCATCTGAGTTAAGCCTGTGTTTATCAAACATGCCATAGAATGGTTGTTGAGACGGTGTGAATTAATTTGAAGGAGAAATCTAGTGATTTACCATTCTTTGAGTTAAGGTATATTTTTCATTGTCCAGTCTGTTATGATTTTTTATCATACTAATTAGACTAACCCACACGCTTGTGTCATATACAAGTCGTAAGCTTATAAGCCTGTATCTTCCTGTTGACTGTTTAAAATGTTTCAATCTGTCCACATACTATAAACTATTTAGCCCTGGTAATTGTTTTGTCGCTCTTCTTTGTACATTCCAAGTATTTGTTATGTAAGAGCTCCAAACACTTGCTCCTTACTCTGGAGTTTCAAACACTTGCTCCTTACTCCGCAGCTCCAATTTTTTTTTTCAATACTCCGGAGTTCCAAACACTTACTCCTACTCCGGAGCTCCAAACACTTGCTCCATACTCCGGAGTTCCAAACACTTGCTCCGTACTTCGGAGGTCCGAACACTTGCTTCGTACTCCGGGGTTCTGAGTTCCAAACACTTGCTCCATACTCCGGGGTCCCAAACACTTGCTCCGTACTCCGGAGTTCCAAACACTTGCTCCGTACTCCGGAGTTCCAAACACTTGCTCCGTACTTCGTAGTTCCAAACACTTGCTCCGTACTCCGGGGTCCCAAACACTTGCTCCGTACTCCGGAGTTCCAAACACTTGCTCCGTACTCCGGAGTTCCAAACACTTGCTCCGTACTTCGTAGTTCCAAACACTTGCTCCGTACTCCGGGGTCCCAAACACTTGCTCCGTACTCCGGAGTTCCAAACACTTGCTCATCTAGATAAAAGTGTAATCTTGACTTGTGTGTAAGGATTTTGAGTTTCATTCAGCAGAAAATGTATAGTTTGTGATAAACAGTTTTGGACATGGATTGAGCCCCTCGACTGACCACTACTCAGCACTGGTCTTTATACGTATAATGCATACCTGACCGAACCTTTGTGTTGGCAGACTTAGCACACTCTATTCGAAATTGTATAGTTACATATACATACCCTTGTATTCTCTGATATCTCAACCATGCCAGCAAGTAGTAAACCGTCTCGTGGTCAGAGTGTGTCCAGCCAAAGGACCAGTGCTATTGGAGCAAATTTGAACCTATCAGTGAAATCTACAGATGATCGAAGAATTCTTACAGAAGATGTCTTGGGCAAAAAATTTGAAAAACGTCTTGATATTCAGAGTGAACATGCCGAATTTATTGAGGAGTTCTGGAGAGAGACAATGAAGATTTGAGACAGACAGTGGCGTGACTCGAGGACGAATGTGATAATGCGAAGGACCGACATATGGAGATTTTAGGAACACTACTCCAGTTTTAACTGGTACCGATCTGCTTTTTCGTGACAGTATGTTGGATTTTCGAATATATGTGATGTGTGTGTGTATTTGGGTATATTATGTGATCTGTGATGTGATTTCTTCCGCGTTAAGAAATGGATTTCACTAAACAGGCTTTCTAAATCTAAGATAAGGAATATATATAATCAATTTTAACAATTCTTTTTCCTTATTGCCCTTTAATATTTATTTTAAGAATAGATATATATATACTGTTAATCAGACCCTGATTCCGATATATTATTATATTTACTCTTTCTATTATAATACGGGCATTTTTTTCTAGGTATCTATACATTATCGACCAATGGTTTTCGAGTAATGAAATGATTTCCCTGTCCGTTACTGAAAGATAATTATGTATTTTATGTTGTCCCAATCCAAAATACACAACTATTTTATTGGAATTGAGCTTTTCATAAATCTATGAAATATATACTCTTCTATTTAATCCGGGCCTTGGTGATTTTATGAAACTAAAATAAGAATGATTTAGAGTAGCATAAAGTTTTGACGGAAACAGCCGGGGTGCTCGGTGCTGCCCCGGAAAGAAGACGGCGGCTGAAAGAAGATGGCGGGTAACTTATGTAGGTAAGTATCTATATCTCTCTATATATATAAGCTGAATTTAAAGTCAATACTTATACTGAACTAGCAATTGCATTTTTTGCAACAATTCATTTGAAATGAGCCATCGCATGTATTGAATTTAGGCTCGACGGCGACGCGCAAGCTGGGCACTGCCGCCATGGCACTTTTTTTTTCAAAATAGTTTCAAGACTTTTCCTTTGAAGCAGTATGCATTTGAAAAATGTTATGTAAGCATCTAGCACATTTACTTACGCTACCGTGAATAGATCTAGGAATCTATCTGTGTCATATATCGATTTTACTTTAAAATATCGGTCACTGTCCGTGCTATTGTAGATCAAATTTTTGATCGGAGAAGTACCCCAAGGCCAGGGTATGAAATCGTACGGGAACTCTACAGCTATGCCAATTGAAAGGTTTACATGTGAAGTTAATATATATAGTTTTAATTTAAATTTAGTTTTTGTCTTTCTGACATGATGTCTCATTGATTCTGTTGAAGAGTGATGCATGTGAACGATTGCAATATAAAGATTGGGAATAATGAAGATGTCAATTAACATCTGAATCCCGGAAAGTGTTGTAATAAAGATTAGGATAAACCTAGCAAAGTGTTAGATCCCAGTGTGAATGTGTAAAGTGTAAGGTCCCAGTGTGAATGTGTAAAGTGTAATTGGTACAATTCTTATTATGCCTGAACTTTTAATATATGTACTGCATTTGTTCATCTCAGAAATTTCAGTATTATGTCAACTGCATCCACTTTCAGTTCAACACTTGATTCATCAATTTTACACAGCCCTAGACTCAATATTTGTCATTAATTGTCGACTGTTTTTTAGCGTTTTAGAGTTTAGTTTCCATGGTGAATGGAATGAAATGGGATAAATAGTCTAACCAATACCCCTCGAGAGCTAATTAATTCATTGCAGTATTATCACTTTGGGCCTTATTAAAAGTCAAATTGAAACTTTAAGAAACTCAAGTGACAGTA